TATTTCGATCCCATTGAGACTATTTACCTACATACTCTTCCGCTCAACTGTGGTAACCATTTTCTAATTCCCAGTTCCTCTGACTGGCTGCTTTCCAATACTACCATAACAAACTTAGCAACAGGAAATATGTATGCACAGCCACTGGAAACACTTGGAAGTCCCAGATTATTTATTTAATACATTCAGTCATCAAAGTGCCTAACCCAGAAAATCCAAGCTTGCCTGGGAATGCTCCTGGGCACTGAAGCACAGCTGTCTACGCTAGTAAACCAGCATAGAAAATGAGCAATTATTGCACATACTGTGCCTGTTCCAGATGCAGCTATCCCCAAACAAGTCCCAGGGACCATTCTCAGTAGACACTTTGCCTGCAGCCACCTTCATCTACAAGACAGTTTCCTAGCATACATGGGGGCTTGCTCCCTGCCAGCTGGCCTCAATGACCAGGAGCACTCTTGAGCACATTTAATTTACAAGTATTGATATAGCCAAAGGGACTGATCTTCAGCATACTCTGGAGCAAAGCCAGGATGCATGAGGAATGCAATATCTTGGAAATACATGACAATTCTGGAGAGAAATAGGCATTTTGTCATGGGATTTTTTGTTCTGCCAGAGTTGTGGTTCTTGGGATAGTGAAAGGCTCAAACCCTGAGCCCCAGCTACTACGTGGGGAGGGGATGGAGGGCTCATACCTGCAGCTCCAGCCAGCTGGGTGGCTGCGTCCTTGTCCCGTTGGCAAACGTCCTTCTGAGCCTCTCTTCGCAATAGGGAGCATAACCAGGGGGGCCTCCATTGATGAAGTTCCTTAAATACTGTTGTCAGCAGGGAACACAGTGGTTAGAGCTCTAGAGGCCAAGCATTTGCAAAGGTTAAAAAGTAATGTTTTATTGGAGAAAAGCCCCCTGGGACTAGCGGCAGTGATACTGCTTGGGCTCAGGATGTTCCTACATCACATTGATGGAAGCTGAGAGAGAATAGGACAGCCTGCACCCTCACCTTGTCCTTATACTGTGCATTCCTGGCCTCAGTAGGGATGTGATGGCAGCCTAGACAGACCTTTGATCGAAGACAATGCAACAGCTTTTCTGTTCCTGCTGTTGCTGCTACTGATTTCTATCTCTGCATTTTAAAAATATACTATAAAATGTTATTGTTGGCCAAAAAGATGGGAGTGAAAGACTTATAAGTAATGATCAAGGAGAACTGTAAGCAATTGCCACTCAGAACACACAGCTTTCAGTACAAAAGATCTTTCACAATTACATTAAACAGATGTTTCTTTAGTCAGATTTTAAACTGCATTTTAGAAGATCCCAAACCAGAATTTGAAGCACTCCACCATATGTTAAAAACACAAATACATAATTTTAGAGAAAATTAAATCCAGTGAATCCCACTATATGAGAGATAATACACTTAAAAATAGTACATCAATATCTTGGCCAAAACGGTACCTAAGGCTAATAGTTCTGTAAAATGTGTTTTTCAGAGAGATTTTATAGATAGGTAAAGAGTTCTCTGAATGATAACACAAAGCTGTTCCAGACTGCTCTATAACACTGCCAGTCCATAAATAACGTGTAGAGAAACAGATATCTCTGTAACTTACAGTGATACTATCGAAATAACTAAGCAATACAGCCAAGTCATATGGATGGGAACTCTTACAAATGATTGCAAGTAGCTGATGCAGTGTAAAAGTGTAGTTTTAATTATGCTGTTAATAATGAAGTATCTAATGAGATACTTTTGTCTCTCTCCTCCATTGTGACTGAACCTTCCCACCAAAGTCCATTATTATATGAAAGAAAGGTACAAAACCGAGGAGTGCTAATGTGTCTTAACCCATGCTTAACGTATGATGCGATAAAGGTGTCTAATGGGATCCAAAGCAAGACCTTCATATTTGGGAGCAGGAAAACACACCAAAGACTGCCTCATTATCAGCTAAATCCTTCTCAAAATGTTCAGTTCTTATTAACACTTTTGAAGGTTGTGGAACAATTTCTGGATGCAAGAGTTTCCTGAAATTCCTTTTTCTTTTTTCTTTTTTTTTTTCAGTAATATTGCTGCTATCAGAGTTAGAGCCTAGAGGTTTCAGAAGAAAAGTAATGAGGAGTCTGATACAACATTCACTGCATGGAAGAGTATAGGAAAGTAATCCTAAGAGATATTTACCTTTATATGATTTTCTTTCTATTGAATATGGATATTGGATAATGTGGATAATAACTGCTAAATGAGAAGTTAGGGCATCAATTGAAAAAGACGTGATGTTAACAGTATGTCATCTAGCTAACTGGCTGATTGCCAACGCAGGCTGTCATACACTCAATGCTAGCTGTTGCTTGGTTAAGGCAGTAGTCAGTGAACTCACAATAAATCAGATTTTAGCTGACTTCTAACTCCTGAAAACTTGGTACTGAGATTAAAAGCCTGAGAGTAAGGTCTGGTACTGACGTGGGATTTGTCTCTCAACACAGAACAGAGTGGACTAGGTGACCTGGGTTAATGTAGCTTCAAAACAGAAGTGTTCAATGAACTCCAACAAACTTTGAACACTCCTCTGCTTTTCACAAAACAAAAAAAGTTGAGTCTGGGTGGGAACGTATGCAGTTTAGGGGCAGAGTTAATGTCTCATCATGACAACGCTTTATCTCAAAACATAACATTTTCAGATGTAAGGTGTCAATGATGTCCCCATGGATAAGTACAGTGGCTTCAGAGGAGCTCCGAGACATTGCCCAAGTCACTACCTGCATGTTGTTGTTTGTGAAACTGGGACCTTGAAAGGCAATCCACAGCGTGGGCTGCTGCAAGTGTCATTTGCACTCACACTCGAGGAGCTTCAGTCACCACAGGCTGTCTGTCGCCTCCACCAGCCCAAGGTGCAAAAGGGCGATGAATAAGGGCATAATTAGTATAAACCCTATCCAAAGCTGTTGGGAATATTGCCACGTATTTCAGCATGGACCATAACTTTGGGCAGAAGTACCTGTGAAACCCTGGCACAGGTTGCCCAGAGAGGTGGTAGATGCCTCATCCCTGGAAACATTCAAGTTCAGGTTGGACAGGGCTCTGAGCAGCCTAATCCAGCTGAGGATGTCCCTGCTCATTGCAGGGGATGTTGGACTAGATGACCTTGAAAGGTCCCTTCCAACCCAAACCATTCTGGGATTCTATGATTCTATGTCTGAGTCTCCAGAGCTACCCATAAATTATTTCTGAGAAATGTTTCACTCACCTAAAATAATCTTCTGCTATTAAAGATTTAAACCCATACAACCTCCTGTGGCATACTTTCTCAGATCTCATTTCCAGACATAATTTAATTTTCTGAGGCTTTGCCAGTGATTTATCTGCTTTATTAGGTTTCATACTGGCAAGGCCTGGCAATGAAGGAAGGATTTCTATTCTTGGTTTCAGCTCTTTCAGTGCTGAGAACCCAAGTACCTCCTCTGATATCTATGGAAATTAATGGAACGTCTTTATCTCCAGCCAGCCCAGGAGCAGGTCCAGGCTCCAACACTCAAAGATCCGAGAGGGACAAAGGAGGTTTTATATCATGGCAAAGCAAAGACACAGTGCTGAGCCCTTTGACCTGAGCCAGCCAAACTCTTAGGCAGAGGATTAACCGGAGCAATCCAGTGGGTGTTACTCAGACTCCAGGTGTGTAACTCATTTGGGAGGCAGACTGCTCAAGTCTAGGCAACAAAGCTTTGCCCAGAAAAAAAGAAAATCCTTAAGAACAACCTGATTTTCAAGTATCAGCCACTTAGCATCTCTCACTGTGTTCAGTCCTGCTGATCCATAGTGCTTCTGATGATACATTACATGTCATCTCTCATGTGGCTGCTTAGAGTTGGATGTTTTCAGTATGACACGCTGTGGGGTAGGTTGTAGCATGCAGAGAGTAACTATGCAAACTTACTTCAAGGTAAATTAAACCCTTCCCTTTCTATGTGCAATTTTTTATATTAAGCTACATTTATATTTAGCTGTGTAGTACTATTCCTTGCCAATTTTGTTAGAGTACAAGCCTGAGGTCATATTATCAAAGCCAGTAGATGCTTGAATGTATGCATAGACCTTTGCATGTAAGAAATAGGGGAGAAATGTGGGCTATTTTGGATGTGCAAATTCCACTGGCAGCCTCCCACCATCAACTTTCCTGCCAGAATTCACTTAATCACATCTTTATACATCTACAGTGCATCATCTGAACTGGTTTTCTACACCCCCTTTGGAGTTACAGGAAAGAGTTACTTCTCTGGAGTGGCTCATCTGATCCGCTTTATACACTAAATTTGGAATCACGCACACTTTCCTTAGGAACTTTATAGCATTTTCATTCCTGGCAAAGATAAAGACCAGGATTCCCTCTACTGTGAAACCCAAGAGAAAATCTGGTCACATGGATGGAAAAGAAAATATATTAGCAGATAATTCATGAGACAAATATAATCTACAATTTACCTTCACAAACTTCTCAGAAGGAGCAAAACATCCCACACAGAGGGACATCAGGATCCAACCTCTGGCGTGGCTGCTTTTGGATGGGTTTTGGGTCAGCTGCTTGCAGATTTGACAATAGATTTCATCCCTGTAACAGGAATTAAAAACAGTATTAGAGTTAATGAGGTGGTGTTTTTCAGCATGAACAGAGAGCAAGCCGGACCCTGTCTGCACGTGACTGATAGCTAAAAGTTCACTTTAGAACTGCAAGGACGTTCATTTAACTGTTCTAGTGGTGGTCACCCTGATCTAAAATGCCATCCACCACCAGTCCTGTAACATCCACTGAGTCTACGCTGTGTTTCAGCTGAGAGTTCCCGCAGCTGACTGACACTGCTTAGAGAAAGAGGGAAATAAAAGGAAGTCTCAAAGTTCAAGGAAGCTCAATGCCACCTCTGGATGATGGAGTCTATTCTAGTTTCTCCCAAAGATTGCCCAGTAATTCCAAGAGAGTCTCCTAAACTAACTCTTACAGAGGGCCATCAGCTGCAAGTCTTCATTTGATGGATGTACCACCTGAGACACCTGAAATGGATATGTGTGGAAGTGCTGGAAGCTATCAGCTGCAGTGGAGGTCAAGGTTTGTCCAGCTCTTATGTCCAAACAGGCACGTACACTGGTAGGATCTCAATTTGGGATTTAACATCACTTTTGACTTTAACCTTAGTTCGCTACATGCAAGAAGAGCGATAACGGTACTTCCTCACGTACATGGAAGGCAACAAAAATGTTTTAGTTAACCTCTTACACTGACAAAACCCATCGGAAAGCCCATGGGACACTACCCCATCTGCCTTCAGAGCAGACTTTGTGCAGTAAAGTAACTCTAAGGTTTTCATAGTGAGCCGAGAGGAAAAAAGGAAAATGGGACAAGCTGGTCACCAGATGAGGATGCTCACGCTGTTCCTGGACTAAGCGGATAGGTGTGAGTGAGAAGAGTGTGAGACTACATAAAGAAGGACAACGCACACACATAAATAGGATAAACCAGAGATGTGCAGTTGACCTTAATTTGGCACTTTCTAATTTTTGAATGCTTCATTTAGCAACTGAAATCTGAGTTTTTCATTAGTGTACCATTAAAAATATTCACACAAAGAGATTTAAGGGTCAAATAGAAAACAAAGGGTAGTGAACAACAAGAGTGAATGTTAAAAAAACCAATCCAGTAGCCACTAGCACTTTCAGAAGTGTTTGAATCCCTCTGTGTGGTCCTTCCATCAGGCCTGATATGGACAGTAAGGAACATGATCCAGCCCTTATTATACAACACAACGAGAAAAGCGATACAATTAGAGGTTTGTAAAGCTGCACACAGTAGCAAAACCATCTGAATAGCTCAAGAATAGCTCAAGGAAGAAGGAATGAAAAGAATGGCATGTTCATGCCTTTGTCTTGATTTCTAACCTTAAAGCTGGCCTGAGGATGCCATTACCAATAATGAAATGGAGCTTCTCCAGGTTGGAGGTGGGGCGGTCTTCAAGCATGCTATTACCCTGGAGCGTAGACTCACCATCATGAAGCCTCTTTGTCACCTGCCAACCAGACACATTTCTCTCTTTCAGTACAGCCAGTTATTACGTCCCCACCCCCCCCTCCCATCCCAAATGTGTGGTGCTGCCTCAGCAGGACTCCTCCACCAAACAGAAAGGGTCTCAGTAGTTCTTCAATTTAGCACTTTAACAGCAATCGAAAGGTTTGACTTTGTTGGCTTTAATATGTATGGGTGAAGCTGAAAATGGTCCTGTCTAGTCACACTCCCACCTGCTTGGTCTTTGCCCAGAGTTTCTACAATGGCACCCTTGCATCCCTGCTCTGAGCTGGTCCTGCAGCTGTGAGAGGGCCAACAACGGTCTTTGGAATAACCCCAGCCTGTTGCTAAGGAGGACCTGTCCCTTTAACTCAGTCATATAAAAAAATATCTTTAAAACACTGACAAAATGGACCCATTCCCCATGTTAATGATGCAGCCAAAAGCACATAAGCATGGTGCTGTTTGTGAAAATGGGGATGACATTCATAGAATCACAGAATGGTTTGGGTTGGAAGGGACCTTAAAGATCATCCAGTTCCAACCCCCTGCCATGGGCAGGGACACCTTCCACTAGACCAGGTTGCTCCAAGCCTCATCCAGCCTGGCCTTGAAGACATCCAGGGATGGGGCATCCACAGCTTCTCTGGGAAACCTGTTCCAGTGCTTCACCACCCTCTCCATGAAGAATTTCTTCCTGATATCTAATCTAAACCTCCCTGATTTCAATTTAAATCCATTACCCCTTGTCCTGTCACTCCCTGCCCTTGTAAAAAGTCCCCCCCAGCTTCCTTGTAGCCCCCTTCAGGTACTGGAAGGCTGCAATAAGGTCTCCCCGGAGCCTTCCCTTCTCCAGGCTGAACAAGCCCAATTCTCACAGCCTTAATTCTTCTGCCTACCAGCCCTCTGTCACAGCTAGTCAACCCAGTCCCCATTTAAAGCCATTGGAGAAAGACAACTGGTTCATGAGTGTGTTCAGAGCCACATTAGGGTAAGCTGGGTCAGGTCCTGTTTATCCCCACTGACCCTAAAGCGAAAGAGAGTGACTATTTCAGAGGGCAGTCTTCATGCTCTCAAGCAACTATATCTGGGTTAGATGGTCCCTGCTCTGGAAGTGGACATGGCAGTGTGTAAAAGATGACTGAATCCATGTCTTTGCATTGCTTTCATCCCCCTCACCCAAAAGACTTATTGCTCCTCACTCTTTTGAGATGGGATTTTCAAAAACGCTCATCTTGGGCTCCTATGAGGAGTTTTGCTCCCTGGAGAGGAGCAGAAGATGGATCAGCGCATTTGGAGACCCCCACCTCTGCTACCTACACCATGGTGGAGGGCAGGAAGTTAAAAGCAGGGATAACATTCAGACCATCACAGAGTGGTGAGAGGTATCAGCAGCTGGATGGAGGGCTGTGAAAGTGGGGAGGGAAGGTGCTGGATGGATGGAGAACGGGAGCCAAGGGGAGGCCGGCGCGAGGTGCAGAATGACTCAAGGAGACACGGGAAGCCAACCTTTCCCCTTAAACACTCCTTAAATCTTTCAGGCAGAGAGACAGGTAGCGCCAAACCCAGAGGAGGGCTGGTTCTATGTTGTCTAGGGAAAAGCAGAAGAGAGTCAGAGAGGGCTGCAGACAATCCAACGGCACTTGTGCTGCCAGGCGGCCAAGCGTCTCCTCTCACCTCCTCCGTCAGTTTGGATTTCTTCTTGAGTGTTAAGGAGACCAGTTTGTGCCGCACACTGTTCTTCTTGTGCCCGTCAATGTGAGTACTCTGCAAAGCAAGAGGCATGGGTGCAATGTGGTGAGACACGGAGCTCTGCTGAGTACGTGCTCTCCCTGCCTCCCCCAGGCTCCTGCAAAAGACCATTAATCCTGGGCAGAGAGTGAGCTATTTCGGAGGGTGGTGGGAACCAGAGGTGTGCAGGTTTATTCCCATATCCAAATGACATGAGCCATTGGCACAGCAGGTTTATGAGCTGGAAGTCATCTAGACAAGAATTCGTGGATAGGCAGTTACCCACTGTGGTTTCATCACCGTTAACCAGCTCTGTGCTCTATCAGATTTCCCAGAAGAATAAATGTGATGTGTGACAGACCCAGGCACTGACTACATCTCATCAAGTTACTGTTGGCTTTATACTTTTATATCAACCTTATGCCAGCTGTGGGATTAAAATGGCATGGATAATCACGTTTTGACCCAATTAACCCCTCCCATTTAAACAGCTTTGAAAAGACTCTGATTTTACACCAGATGAACACTTCAGGACCTGCAGCTGTGATGGTTTATATGCACTATAAAGCCAAGTTTGTGCTGTAAACCTGGATTTGCATATCAATGCAGAGTCAGCCCAGACACCTCGCTGCACTGTTGTGCACTCTGCAGAGCAGATGTAACCACAGACAAAAATGATATCTTAAATTTTCCTTCTCTTATGTACTATCTGAAGTCTCAATTAGCCAAAATATGACTTTTTTTTGTAATACACAAGCATGAAATGATAGGTAGAAGGAATGAAAGGTGATTCTTGGTGTATATTTTTACAGAATTACAATCCAGATGACGCTACTCTCCTTCTCAGGTAATTGACTGAAAGTGCATAATGATATCACCATCTCTAAAAACTAGGAGTTTTACTAATGTATTTCTGCAAATGCTGCAGAAACTTGTCCAGAAGATACTACAGAAAACTTTTTGAAAATGCAACAGAAAATCCCAATACCAGGTAATATGTTGTCCTATTGAATAAAGCAATTGCCAAAGAGGAAGGCATATCAGTGCTATGGACAGTGATTTATCCAGAACAATGTCTTATCTGGGAGGGGTCCTATGACGAAGTCCTTCAGTGACATCCCAGAATGCACTGAGGATGCAATAGGGATTTTTTTTTTTTTTAATTTCCACAGCTTAATCCTCCTGGTAACTCTCTACTTCCTGCTCCAAGATTAAGGGCACATTTTTAATTTAGTTTCTTCTGACCCAGGGCAGATCAAAAAGAAATTCCCAAATGAGAGACTGGTGGCACAGGACATTGCAGTCCCTTCATGTATTTCTTCCCTGCAAGGAGGAGGAGAGAGATGAAAGCCCCATGAGAGATACCAGGGCATTTTCCTTACTGTATTGCTGGGGGACATTCAGTTATCCCTGTGAAGAAGGAGGAACAGGATCTACACCTGACACAGAGGAAATTCTCCCTTTGTGGCATAGCTGCAAATATAATCAACAAACTGATTGCTGCAGCAAACTCCACAAGTCGTTTCCTTCCAACACATTTCAATATCCAACCCCTAGAAATAGCATCTTTTTACAGCCGCAGCAGTTACCTCTCCTTCTCCCTGCAGAGCCTGCAGTTCTTTCTTATAGGTCTTCTTCCCAAGAGTCTCATAGATTTTTGTCATCACTGGTATCTTCTCCCCACCATCACTCATGGCTGTATGATATTTTGGCTCGGGGAGGTCTCCCATGAAACGGAGGACAGTGATCCATACAGCAAGTGCTGCCTGTTTGAAAGAAAAGTTCAACTCCATTAGCTCACACCAGGGCAGTGGAGGGGGCCACTCCATTAGCTCACACCAGGCGAGTGGAGGGGGCCTGGTCAGGCCATGCTGAATCCCTCAGGATGACCACTGTGGTCATCCCTGTGTCACACATAACAGTTTTGCCGGCAGCGTACATCCCATCTGAGCAAGCCAGGCAGGCTGGTGGCTGGGACCACAAATTCAGGCTCTGTGTTCATACCATCGTGAGTGTGTCTGTACACCCTTCAAGGGGTTTGCTTCTTGGCTAGGAGATACCAGCCTAATAGCGACCAACAGCTCCTGACCCACTGCAGAGGGGAAGGAGAACCACAGCGAAGGCAGGTTCATGGCCAATGTAAAGTTCATTCCATCCATGCAGGTTCAGTACCATTCTGACAGTGTATTGCTGGCTGTAGGTCAAGCATTTCTGCTCTGCTACCTCTGCACAGGTGCATATGACAGAGGCAACTTTTCCAGCTGCTGAGGAGAAGCTTTACAAGTGGCACTCACTCAACAATTTCCCTCATCCATGCCCTGAGCCTAGAGCACTTCATCATCTCAACACAAATCATAGAGTCACAGAATGGTTTGGGTTGGAAGGGACCTTAAAGCTCATCTAGTTCCACCCCCCCTGCCATGGGCAGGGACACCTTCCACTAGACCAGGTTGCTCAAATATCAAGGACTCACCACTACATCCCTCTAACCCTTGTTGACAGTGCTCAGAGCATGCTGGTGGGACAGTGTCTACTGACACAGG